GTGAGATGAGGAACCCACTGGCAATAAGCAGCTGACAGTCCAGAAACGCGGTACAAGTTTAGGGATAATCCAAGAGGGGTAGTCAAATGTCCAATCCGGGTCGAGGCAGGCAGCGAAGGTTCAAAGGCGGAAGACGGTCCAAGGGTCGGTAATCGGGAAGGATACACAGGGGCAATGGCAATAGCAGGATCAGCAGGGAGGCTAGGTGTTCACCATAAGGTGGAATAACTCAGCAATAAGCCAGAGCTCAGGCCAGGTTTTTATAGCCAGGGGAGGTAGGACCACCCCCTGGTCACCGAGGCAACCAGGAGGCCTCCCTCCCCGGGAACCAATGGCAGGCGAGGAAGATGAAGGTGTGTACTGGGAACCTCCCCCAGCAAGGCTCACACCTGATAGCCAGATGATGCAAGAACGCTATGCTCCCGGGGATGCGCGCGCAGCCTGCGTACTGCGCATGCGCCCACGCCGCATGACCCGCGCATGCGCACCTGCACCTCGGGCACCAGGTGTTCTACCGAGCTGAAGGGGAACCCGTGCCCTGCGCCGTGCCCGTGGTCCCCGAGTAGAGGTAACATCCCCTGCTTCCTGACACTCTGTTCTGATCATAGAGAAATTTAAGCGGCTGAGTGACCTGATGGGCTCGGGGCTGAGTGACCCGATGGGCTCGGGGCTGAGTGACCCACTGGACGCTGGGCTTGGTGACGCAGGACCCACCTGAAGGGGTCTCAGGTGGCCTGGTCAGGGCTGCATCCCCCTCCCTCCCAGCTCCTCTTACCTGCACACCAGGCGTCCTCTGCTGCTGGACTGGGCGGAAGTGACGTTACGGCACTAACGTGACATCACTTCCGGCCAGTCCGACATCAGACGAGCAGCGTTGCTGATGGGGCCCCAGCTTGTCTCGAAGCCGCTGGAGCGGCAATGCTGGGGCCCTGCTAGAGCCAGGCCTCCGCTGCAGGGGCCCGGCCGCCTCCTTGCCCTTCACTGTCAGCCGATACTCATGTAAGGGTCCCGGACGGGCCCCCCCAGGCTCCTTACATGAATATTGGTCGTACCCCACTGATGGCGGAGTACCAGTACTTGTGAAAATGCCCTGTATCGGCCCCAATACTGATATTGGTACATTCCTAGTAGAGGGGGAGCATAGAGCTCTTAATAGAGCCTTAAATATGTTGTGTAATTTACATTCTAAAAATCCCAATTAAATCAAATATTTAAATGTTGTAATGCTGAAATACTTGGAAAAAGTGCAAAGCAACAAAAGATCCAGGCCCTTCACATTCTAATGATATCATCGATGCAGTGAATCGTAGTCCTAGTTTAAAAGCTCCTCCTTTCAGACTACATTTTTAAAATGATTACTGAGAAATTGCAGTTACCGCATAGATTTTGTGACCAATATTTCTGTATCTATTTCTGTACTCTAGTTATTGCTAGTGATCATTTTTTCATATGATAAAACTACAGCAAGAAGCTGTGCACTCTGGGAAGCCCTGCAGAATATATTGATGCTATAAATAATGCAAGTAAAAATACAACTACTGTTTACCTGATTTATCTATTATTTTATTACCTGGAAACATAACAGATAGATCTGGAAAAAAAATAGTTCTCAATGCCAGCAGAGTAGCCCATCTGTCACCAGCAGAATTTTAATTACTTCATGCTAGATTTTGGACTAGATAATAACCGGTTTAAGTTACTATGTTTGTTTCCAAGAGCGAAATCAATACTGGAGGTCTACAATTGAAAAGGGAAAAGGAGAACTATTTGTTTAATCTTATATTTATGTACTGGTTTGGGGAAAATTGTTTTGCCTAGGCATGTCAGTTACACTCAGCAATGGTAAACAGCCCCGAGCAATAAGTAAATGAAGATGAATTCTCAAGTATCTCATCAGTATCAGTGAAGTTTTCTCTTTGTTGTATAACCTACCTGGATGTCACGCTTTCAACAGGATTAATTCGGCGATCCTTTTCAGTCATTTAAAAATAAATGAGGATTGGGTACTTTTAAATCCTTTTGCATGCTAATAGTTATTTAGGGTAAAAATAGGCTTTGCTTTTACCTAAGACAAATAGACACAAATTTTCCTAACAAAACCACATGAACTCACACGATAATCCCTTTCTGGCAGCTATTTATTCAATACAGGTATATTGTGTCAGCTGCCATTACTATTGTGGTATCAATAAACTGTGATAAAGTGAACCTGTCACAAACCTGGGCAATTCAAAGTTGTTCAGTTTGAATTTCCCAGGCCTACTTTAAAGTGTATCAAGCCAAAAACAAACATTTACTATATTGCAGCTTACCAGTCCTTAGATGTAGTGGCTGCATTGGTTTTCTTTTTTTTTTTGGTCAGACTTCTTTCTCTTTAATTCCACATTGTAATCCTACAAATAACACACTTCATGGGTGGCTATGCTCAGTCCTGCACTGTATCTTTAAAAGGAGCCATGATTGCCACCCATTCTGGGCTTCTAACATTGTTCTACCTTTGTTCATCTCCATTATTTGAAGGATGGGTTTAGTAATAGCGGAAATCATTTTTGCTTGCTGTTCATCTCACAGGAAATGTCCCTAATATTTATGATATTGTACGCCAAGTGAACAATGACACATCTTTGCATGAAGGCTCTGTAAGCAGGTAGTTATATTGATACATGAATTGGGTCCAAGGTTGGGTCAACTTAACTTCAGTCTTTATAGTGTAACTGTGGCCAGGCCATTCAACACATTCCTAATATGCTGTAAATGGGCTTCAAAACAAGCACTCACTGACGGATGTAGGCACTATAGAAGCTTAATTATATGCCATTCATAATGCATATATTACACTAATAAGTGACAAAATGTATCTTTATTGTAATGGTGTTGTTTACAGGAAAACTCTTTGTTTGTTCAACAATGGTTATAATGTATACAATTGCTACACAAGCCACACTGCAATTGAATTTTTATTAGAAATTAAATTTCATTTCAGTCTGCAGCAACTATAAATTTTCCAACACTGGCTATAAATTCAAGTGTACCCACAGCAACCTGGAAGCATTTTGTATACTGTTTGTACATTTAATGAAGTCAAATTACAGACATCCTCTGCAATACGAGTTTAGGTTTTAGTGGGATACCTTTAAATGGTCTTTGAGATTAAGGCCCCATTCACATCAAAAACAGAAGGAAATTGCAATTCAACGGAGTGTCTGTTAACTGGCAGCTTTAACCTCCGCTGATTTCACACCCATTCATTTTCCAGTGCCCTTGTGTTAGCATCTGTTTAAAAACGGATCACAATGCAACGGATCTGGTGTGAATGGGGCCTAAAAAGTAGTCTTTCTTATTACAACATTAGCAGAGGCATTCCTTTCCACTGAACTGGCAGCTTGAGAAAGGACATAAAGCCTACATCAATATCTTCAGAACAGGAGCCAGTAGGAATCTGTAAAAGTTTGCTAAAATTCTTAGAATATACACAGTTCACCTCGAGGAAATTGTTTATCCGTCAATAAAAGAGTTTCACTTTAAATGTAAAAGTCGCCATTAATAGAATCAAAAAATGAAAGGGACTTCAAGGAAGACTATAAACATTTTGTTTGGGGTAAGGTAACCCACACTAAATTCACCATTACAGAACAAATCTAGTGGATTTTGACTACTACTAGTTCCATATACCACTGGAGTTCTGTTGCTGAAAATGGTCATTGTAAAAGCCAGGCAAAGCTACACAATCCTCTACGGCAACCATGTTTGTTGCAAGGCTCACATCAAATTTCAGGCCCGCAGAGTCTTCTCCAGTTACATGCTAGTACTAAATGTGTATGTAAATCCTAACAATGAATATCTCTTATTTGCTCATTTTTTGGTCTGGTAAATGCACCATGCATTGCAAATGCGTTGTTATAGCTGTTCATTAAGTGCAAAAAAATAAAAAAATAACTTGGATTGTTTCAGAGCCGTCCTGTGCAAACTTCCTGTGTTATAGTAAGAAGTCTAATTGGCCCTCCCACTTCTTATCTTGGACTACAAAACAACTATTCCCTGGTGGAGATGAGGAGAGGGATTCAGGAGTTTAGCAAAAGACAACTGGGCAGGGCTGACACCATTCAGTTCACAAATAGATGTGCATTGCCAACAGGAAATTGGGATCCAAGTGCATTTCTGGCAGATCAACAGATATTTTTCTGCACTTGCAGGGTCATTAAAAGGGATAAAGCATGGGGAAATCTCCCTTTATTACAGAGATGTTCTGCATTGTTTTTATATTTTGCCTTGACATTATTATTATTAATCAGGATTTATATGGGGAGACAGTACAATACAATGCCATACAAAGGGATGCACTTTAATTAAAAAGCCTGTCCTATAATTAAGTGCTTCGAAGCTCTGTCACCTTGCTTTTAAATGTACATTTTCCAAAAAATACAGTTTCAGAGGAAGATCATGTAGCTTTGCCTTGTTTTGCACCTTTCTTTGGAGAAACCAAGGTCTGACTCCAGGGTTGCTGCTACAGCAATACAACTATACCCTTGCATAGCATTCTCTGCTCTCTACATTCATAAAGACAGACACTTTCACCTTTGGATTTTCAAGTGTTCTGACATGTGCTCCTAGAAGTGTACACAGCTGTCAATCTCAGAAGTAATAGATAAAAATAAGTAGTGTTTGCACATGTCCTCCCAACCCATCTCCTCGTCAGTAAAAATCATAAAAATAATCTTGCCCAAAGTTATCAATCATCTTGGTTTTGTTTTAGAATGAACTCTGGAAAATTACAGCTGGAATCTGTTGAGAAGCAGCGGATTAAAGCATCTTGTTTAGCTTCCATAAATTAACCTCATTCCATATATATACACCATGCATTCCACAAATAGGCCTATTCAGAAAGCCAGTACAAAGAAAGAAGATGATGCAGAAAGAATAGTTTTCGGCAGCCAATCGGAAGTCATTTAACTGGACTGCCTATAGTTAACGGAAATCTGATTAATATAGTTTTACTGCACTTTTTTTAACATCATTGTTCTTTGCATTGCCTCCATGAATAAGCCTGTAAAAAACTGAATGTCATCGGAAAAATAAATAACATCTGTAAATTATTGTTCCACGCAGAACATCATGTAAAGACAGGCCAGGGGGGCCAGTGCTCAAAGACTGCTGCCCTCTTTGGCAGCATCCACACGTTTAATGGGATCCAGACTGCTTGATCTTCGTCGCAGCTTCAAGTACAGCTGTCAAGTTTGCCTTATCTCCAAATTCCATCTCACGATGCTCCAGAAGGATTCCCTGCAAATTGTGAAACAGATTGTTATAACAAACACTGTGTTGTGCTATTTTAACTATTTCACCTTGCAGAATACACTCCATTGCTTGTACTTGCAATGAAAGGGAACCAATAAGCTAAATTCTGAAGACATTAAGGAAGAAATTAGTCACCAACTATCCCTTTGTTAAAGCTTCTTTAAACTCCTTTGGTAAACAAGATATGCCCGGAGGACAATGAAAGCATAGGATACATGTTTGTGGGTGATCTTTCTCAACGCAACCTAAATGTAACTGTTGTAGCAACAGTAACTAATGTATTTCACTTATTTTTGTTACTAACAATAATTACTGGTGTGAATGCACATGTGTTCAGTAAGTAAGACTGCATCTTGATGAGCACAACTTTCCATCCACTGACTTTATAAAACCAAAAAGGAATATTAAAGACTAAACTAATACACATTTGTTTAAACGTGTTAAAAAAAAAAAGTTTCCAAATTCAATTTTAGTAGCTCTTACCCCAACCACCTCCATTGCATCTGGTGTTATTAGTCACAACCTACAGCTCCACTCTGACACGTGTTCCATGCGCTATTGATAACATTTTGCTGACAATGTCCAGTACTGTATTTGTAAATTGATTTATGCTCTACTGACAGTAACCATAGCTTGACCCAGACCCATACCAGAGCAGATTACAATTTAATGCCCCTACTATGCAAACACTACTAAGAGTGTCCATACACTGTGCGAATTTCAGCCAGTTCTTAAGAAACTAGCTGAAATTTGCAGTGTGTGCTTCTCTCGGCATCCATTCGGCCGGCATCCCTCGATCAGCTGATCGAAGGTACTGGCTGGAAGATCTTTGTACGATCAGAGCCGGCAACCAATGAGCTGCCGACTCAGGTCGGGTATTCTGAAAGTGGTCACTGTCAGAATACAATGCAAACAGTGGGATTCCTTGTTCAACACATTCATAGTGTTGATGGAGTATTTTTTTTTTCGTTTAGCCTGAGGGTTGAATGAAAGAAAAAAAAAATAGAGCTGTGTATGACCAGCCTAACTTGAGGTCCCATTTAGGATTACAATTCAGTACCCCAGTACTAAAAAGCCACATGGTTAATCATATTACATATAAGAGTAAAACAATCCATTTTAAAGTAGCTGTTCCTCATGAGTTGTTATTGTAAAGAGAATAAATGTCATTTTAAGTTGATTTTCAGATTTTCCTTCAATCTACCATAGTATAATTATACTTCAATTTTTGGTCCTGGCTGTCATGGCCATCTCTGTGTAAGATATTACTATCAGCATCCTTGCTGTACTACTGTCCATGCTGTACATCCTTGCTGTACAGAGTGTGTACTATTATCAGTAAAAGTCAACTGACAGAGTACATTCATTGGGGTTGATTTACTGGCGGAATCTAGACTGTTCACTTAGCAAAGTAAAAAAAAAATTCACACATAATTGGATATTCAATGTACACATGGGTACGCCCTATTTACTTTTCAAAGTAAACACACTTATTACAGTGAACATTCACTCTACTGAGTGAATAGCCTCTATTCCTTTAGTAAATCAACCACAGTGTGTTACCAATCAGTACATGCAGTTGTCTGTCCCTGTTCTAGATTTTACTCCCCCCCGCCCCCCATTTGTTGACACAGGATTTTATTTGATCACTATGTCTTTTCTAGGAGGATATTTGGAGGTCTATAAAAAGCAGCAAATATAGACACACTGTATGACAGCCATAAAGCTTTTTTTTAAAAACTAAAAACCTCTAGACAGTCATATAGCACAATGGTCAAAATTGAATGACTGGCTCTCCTCCAATTGTGCGAGTGCGCGCGCACACACACACACACACACACACACACACCTTACTACAGCCTGCATTGTATCATTCAGGTTGTGGTATGCCGTAGTGCAGAGGAATAATAGATACACTCTGAAGGATCAGCTAGTGTGAGGAATATTGCCATAATCCGGAGTTTCAAAAATTTGGTGAAAGACATATAGGGCCCCAATTCATCCAGATGCAATAGTACTTATGACATTTTAACCAGTCAAGACCTAGGGCTTCCTCCACCAGTGACACCAGTGTTTGCTATTTCCATTCATAAATACATTGTTATAATGCTTTAGTGTAGATTAAAGAAACCTAGAAAAATTAATTTGCCCTTATTAAGCCAAGAAAGAAGCCAAGAGAACAAGAAGCCAGTCATTAGGTGTCTTTGAGGTGTTTGGAGCAGGGCACATGTCTGTGTGAAGCTTTGGACTGTGGGCTACTGAGACACTGCTGGGCATCTGTGTTTATGTTTGAACCCTCAGTAAGCAGGCTGGGACCCTGAGAGTCGGTAAGCCAGATTTTCTGTTGCACTGAAGAAAAGTGCTGTTTGTTTTTCTTTTGCTAAAGATAAGGTGTTTTTGTTTAAGTGTTTTTGCGAGAAATTAAAGACTCTTGTTTTATAAGCAGGGCTGGCTAGTGACCTTAACCGCCCTGAATATTGCAGTGTATTATTTCAGTATCATATGTAATGAAAAAGTTACTGCCAAATCAAAGTGTGCTTGGGACATGTTAATGTGGCCTCCCATTCAGTATTACAGCATGTTATTTTACCATTTTGCACATCTCTGGGCAAAATAACCGGCAATATACTCACTTTTTTTTTTCAAATTAAAGCCCTTTTTATTGTCTCAGACCCTGCTGTCATGTCTCCCTCACTGGTGCCTCTTTCAAATGTGGAGACTGGTGACCCAGCGATGCAGTTCAGGTCCACCACCTGGACTTTTAGCTGCCCCTCATCGTGGTATTGCCACAATGCTGTTGGGAGTCTTCAGGATCAATGAGGACTCTGCTGATGGATAGCCAATGGGAAATGTCGATATCATTAGGTAAAGACGTGGTCACCAGAAAAAGGCCCCTCCCAATGCAATGGGAGGAAGAGAGAATACTAAGGAACGTGGATATAAGCAAGTATTTTGGGCAGGTTTTATTTTTAATCAATGCAGCAATTAGCTAGAGGGAGTAGGGGTATTGGTTTATGAGGGGAATTTTTCCTGGCTTGACTTTAACCCCTTTATGACTAAAGGTCAATTAGCCTAAAGACCACATTTATAAATCTTCAGTATGCAGTTAACTTCACAATAACTATTTGTCTACCAAAATCATTTTTACGTTGTTTAAAAGACATAAGGCTTGTATTTGGTACAGTTTCAAAAAAAAGCCTGCTCATGTTTTTTATTTATAAGCTGACAAATTGACACATTTGGTTATTTTACACATAACAGTTTTCACCTTTTAAACTTTCATTCATTCAGATGGCACTATGCCTTTCTCTCCGTGGAGAGAGAGAGAGAAGGAGAGAGAGAGAGAAGGAGAGCGAGAGAGCGAGCGAGTGCGAGAGCGAGAGAGACACAGAACATTTGACATTTGTTTATAAACAAACCTCTCAGTTATTGCTTTGGTTGACGGTCAAGCCAATCACATGATGGACAACCATGCTAAATGGTTCCTGATTGTTAGCTTAAGGCCTCATTCACAAAGCATAAAGCAGGGCCGTACAGATCAGTGCAGCGTGCATGGCCGTACCGTGCCATTGCCGGGAAGGACAGGTGCTGCGTGTGATTGTACGCAGGAGCCTTTTCTTCCCTATGGGAGGATGCAGCCGTACGCTGTCGTACGCTCACCAGAGCTACCCTCAGTGCCCCATAATGACAAAGGGTAAAGTAAAATTTTTGAAATTATTGCAAATATATGAAAAAGGAAAAATATGATTTGGAAAGGCACACACCTCTCTATAGAAGGCCTCATAGCTGACAATGCATACTGTATCAGAGCAAAAACACATGAAAGCCCAATTGGAGTTTGCAATAAAGCACCTGAAGAACTCTGACTTTGAGGAACAAGATTCTCTGGTCTGATAAAACCAAGTTGAACTGTTTGGCCTAATTTCTAAATGTGATGTCTGGAGGAAACCAGGCACCGCTCATCACCTGCCCAATACCATCCCAACGTGAAGCATGGTGGTGGCAGCATCATGCTGGGGGGGGTGTTTTTCAGCAGCAGGGACTAGGAGACTGATCAGGGTTGAGGAAAAGCTGAATGGAGAAAAGCAGAGATATCCTCAATGAAAACCTGTTCCACAGCGCTCAAGACCTCAGACTGGGCCGAAGGTTCACCTTCCATCATGACAATGATCCTAAGCAGACAGCCAAGACAACACAAAGGGACAACTCTGTGAATGTCCTAGAGTGGCCCAGCCAGAGCCATGACATGAACCCTATTGAGCATCTCTAGAGAGACCTGAAAATGGCTCTCCACCGATGGTCCCCATCCAACCTGACTGAGCTTGAGTGGATTTCCAAAGAACAAATGGCAGAAAATCCCCCAATCCAAGTGTGCAAAGCTTGTTGCGTCATACCCAAAAAGACTTGAGGCTGTAATTACTGCCAAAAGGTGCTTCAACAAAGTACTGAATAAAGGGTCTGATTACTTAAGTGCACGTGATATTTCAGGTTTTTCTTTTTAATAAATTCACAGATATTTTGAAAATTCTGTTTTCACTTTGTCATTTCGCCAACATGACTAGAAATTGCGTCCTTTTGTCAGCCTGTTCACTGTACCTTCTCTTTTCTTCTCGTTTCTTCTCTCACCGCTGCCACAATAAATCTGTAGTTTCCTCCCCAGACTCACAGACTGTCAGCGGTCTCCCCTCACAGGTTGTAATCGGCTGCAGCGGTCTGTGTCAGAGGGGACAAAGATCGCAGTCCAGCGGCCAGCAGCAATAGCCAGCCTGCTGTTGCTATTTTAAATTGCAGTAGCCAATAGCAGGCTATTGCACCCGCCCACTGCCTACTAGCAAACAGCTGTCATTCCCAGCTAAAGCTATTGAAGTGGAAAAATTACACTAGAGGTCTAATAGACCCCTAATGTCACCTTAAAGAGAACCGGTTATCTCCAATGAGTAAAACAAAAGTTAAAAATAGCCCCCAAAAAATTTAAAGTCCCCCATCCCCATTGAAACGCTGTTGCGAAAAAAATCTGGCTCTTAACTTTTTTAGCTGGCTCCTAGATTCAAAGAAAATTTGTCAAGCTCTGCTCTAGGGCCCTTTGTTACAAACATTAGGTATTTTAACTCTCTCCCATGTGATGCCATCTTCCTACACCAGCCTTTACTTCAATGTTGCTTCTCTATCCCCTTCATGAGAAGCACAAATGCACAGTATAAATCCACCCATGACATTTGGCCAAGAGATGGGCAGATGGCGCTATCTAAATGTCATGTATGAACATGCATATTCACTAAAAGGCTCACTAGTCATGGTGGGAGGGCTCACATGTTTTGACTATTGCACAGCAAAACATCAGAATACCCTACTCTGATTAAATAGGCAACAGTTCATCAATATAACTAGTTAGTTATCGTCACCTGATTTCCAGAGCCAATCACAAATACACCTCCAAGGATCAGACCTTCCCCTTCAAGGTTCCCTTCAAATCCAGCTTTCCAGGCTCTGCGGAAATTCTGCCAAACTCCCAATCGGATCAGTCCCAGGAACATCATCTTCCTCTTCTGAGGTCCATAGAATCGTTTCTGCAGAACACCAGAAGATCATGAGTTCTTAAATTTAGAGGAGAAGGGATCAGTATTGTCTCTCTACTCAGCACTATAATTATTCAGGATTTATATAGCGCCAACAGTATGCACAGTGCTTTACAAAATGGAGGGAGACAATACAGCCAACAATACAATTTCAAGGCAGGAGGGTTAGGAGGGCCCTGCTCGTGAGACCCTAAAATGTAGATTGTAAGCGCAATTCTCTAATTACGTCAAGGATTACAAATGACAGAATGATAACAAGTAAAGAATGATCATTTATTACAGTTGCATCATATAAATTGTTTGTACATTATATAAATGTTGATGCAAATAATTTAGCTTCAATGAGTAATCATGGTGAATCAACTGTCAAGACTATGATGGTACTATGGGCCAGACAAAAGGCTGAAGCAACACAGGCTCTGCATGCTCTTTTTCATCTTGCACCCATGTAAGATGATTTCTGAGGACAGTGAAATGTAAGTGCACAATCTGACAACCAATGGCTTGGTAACACATTAATTAGAAACAAAGAGAAGATGGAAGGAAATGAGCGGAGCTGGCAAGATGCTACTGCAATGCTTATTTCAGGAGATAACAATAGCGACTAGGACAAGTGTTCTATCAATGAAAGTATTTACTAGCCACCTGGAAAGGTCAGAGTCATGTCAGTCAATTTCGGCTGCCTAAATCAATCATATTTATAGGTAGGTTTAAACTGCCTACATAGAAGACATTTCCAAGTAATCTAAAACACGCTTTCCTTCTCTTAATGTTCACTAAACACCTGTTCTCTTGTCCATGGATTGTACATCTCTGAGCCCATAAGGCTATTTGGCTGGTGGTGTTTGCTGTCATCAATATGCATCACATTTCTGCACAAACCTGCTAAAATACGAAGGTCTTGACTACTACCATTTCCTCTATATGGGTATCTTTCCATAGCAGTCTCACACAACAATCCTATTCCTTACAGGTCTTTCAAGCAGATACCTAGCTGGGATATGTTCCTGACACTCATTAGAACTAAAGAAGCTGCTTGGGTGAACAGTGAAACATCTTTAACATTACAGAACAAATCCAGTTCAAAGTGACTAACTACTACTAGCGACACCTATATATACTGAGAATGAAGAAGAAAAAAAAACCCACTATGAGAACGTTAGGAGCGGCCGTGCTCTCTTCCCGGCTAGCATGTCAGTTGCTGGGCAGCAACGCCCCCCTTTTTTGCCCTGGTCATCCTCCTCTGCGTTGATTGACCAACAGCACTGTGGTGCACTAATTGACTATCACTAGCCCAGTACTTTGGACTTGCGATAGTTCTACTTCACTGGCTCTCTATCCTGATATTTGTTATCTTGATTCTTGCCTTGACCTCAGCCTGTCCCTGGATTACTCTCTTGTGTGCTGCCATCCCTAATCTTTGGCTCGTCCCTGGATTACTCTGTCTGCCTCCTGCCCTAACCTCTGCCCGTCCCTGGATAATGCTACAGACTGCTGCCAGCCCTGAAATCTGCCTACTTCTGGTTCTTGTGACTGGCTACTCTCCTGCGGAAACCTTAGTCCATGTCTAAATCCCTTTAGATTCACAGGTCCCACTGAATTTTCTCCTTGCCCAGCCTCCAATAATGCTTTTCTAATGGCACCTCAGTTGCGCCAGGCAGATCGCACGGTTCCCCGCTGTGATTCTGCACAAGTAATTGCGCATGATCGCAGCTGAAAAAAAATCACTGGTTGCATGTCCCGAAAAAAGATACATGTACATTTTTCAGCGATTGCCGTGCGGATGTAGCCCCATTGATAATCAAAGGGGTTGTGCGGCAAACGCTGTGTGCAATCGACCAAGTGTGCACCTGGCTTTATTGTCAGAGTTTTCCCAAAACTGTTAAAACAAATGCAATGTTTTTAGTTACCTTAAACTTGAATAAAAACAAACAACACATTTGAATTCCATTATAAGACAAAACAAAGTTTGTTATAAAATATGTAATGCCAGCAAGAACCACTTTCTCAGCCACAGCTTTTTATTACATTTTGATCAGTCCATGTTCTAGCTAAATTTTTTTGGAAACAAAATCAGAAAAGACTGTGTACAATGATTTTAGTCATCAACTGTGTTTCCAGGTCCAAAGTTTCTTATTCTGCTGTGACAGCTGTTTACTGTTAGCATTACAGTTATACAGATCAACTCCTATGCCATTTATCATACACAGTATAACCAACCAGGTATAGCAGAAAAGCACTAGAATTCAGAACACAAGGCCTCTGATGTGTAGATTTTAATGCAGAAAGTGATGATTATGGACAAGTTATAAGTCCTGTGTACAGAATATTGTTCAAATTTGTGTTGCACAGATGAAAGTGTGTACACATTTCCCGATAATACCGATTTCGGTATTAACCTTGAAGTAAATTTGGGGTAGAGATTTCAGTATCTTTTGTATGCAGGTGATACTCAGATCTGTCTTTCTGCTCCTGACCTAGCTTTTCTAAAGAAACAAGCATCCACATGTCTTGGTGCTGCCTCTTCTTTCATGTCCACTCGCTGTTTAACTATTAAAAGTGGATAAAACTAAAATTGTCAATCACCATTGACAACATTCTCATTTTAGAAGTTATTTTTGACTCCAATACTCTAAACACATCCTGCCAAGTCTAAAGTAACATCATGCTTTGTGGCAATCCATTAAACAGTCCCGTCACACTTCAACTAGTAATGAACAATGCAGCCTGGCTGATAACACCTCTCCTCCAATTCCTAGTGTTCTGATCCTCTCGGTCAGTACCTCCACTGGCTTCCTAATGCATACCCACAAGATACAATGCAAAAGATGTATACAAAAATAATGTGCTATTAAAGCCCACTTCTTCCTTGTACTCAACATCATTTTTGATGTTGAGTACAAGGTCCTGAGATAGGAAATCTCAGCTCTGCCAGTTCAAGACTTACAAGCAGAAGTTTATTTTAATCAACAGCTTTTGACAGTGTCAACCCACAGTGGAAAACAGGTTACCCTTAGAACTTCTACAACAGGTCCCTCCTATGACTTTGGCTCAAAAGGTCTTACTTACGTTAGCCAGGAGGACCTCAGAAGTGGCAGCCTTCTACTGCAAGTCACCCTTTATTACCCTATTTCTTCATAAAGACAAGGTTAAAATCTAGCATCCAAACTCCCAGAAGCAGCAGCAGCAGCTATACCTTGCAGAAGACGGGCTGTGTCCCCAATGAACGTTGATAATTTATTTTCATTTTCGATAGAGCGGGGCAGGGTAAGAACCTCTTTCAGGTGCTTTGCCTTTAGTTCCAGGATTTCCCTTCAGTTCCTGTCCTAATGACAGAGCGTCCCAGAGACATAGTGAGAAGAAATTTCTGTAATGGGACTGGAGATTGCAATAAAATCACTTTTCTCAATAAAGTGGGGAAAGGCTAGAGCCACTGTCAGGTTTTATTGCTGAGCTTTCTGCCTCAATGATATCATTATCCTTCATATCTTGTCTTCTTCATTACATCACTGCTTTTATTATAAGAGCTGTGTCAGCTTTCCTTTCTGCCAAGCAAACATTTTTAAAGAAATGGAGAGGAGAAAAAGTAAAAGGAGAAAGACAGGATACGAGAAAGACAGGACAAAAGCCATATCAGGCCTCAAGGGTTTTACTATCCCTGCAGGTCTTTATTTCTGCTGAATCGGACGAAATTCCATCCACGGGTGGACCTGCCGGCACCACCTGGTTTGACAAAAGTTGATTTTTGTGGAAGGAGCTGGGTGGAAAACTTTAAGGGTTATACTAAGGTTGCATTTAGATGTATATAACCACAATTACCACAATGAATGCACAACGACAAACAATACACATGGTAGTGCTGAAGAGACAATTCACATTTGGCTATGGCACAACCGATAAAAGGGACTACTTTTTTTTTTACACCTTTGAGAAAACACGACAATAGGAATTTAACAACAAAACTAAATTGTGTTTGCTTTACTTTATCTACCGAAACATATTACCAGCTAAACAGTCCTTTAGAGAACTGTAATGAATGGAGTGAGCATGTGCTAAGCTCCTCATGATTTATGGCTGCTGCATCTGTCTATGATGCTTATGACAACCATGAGTTAAAAAGTGATAGATGTACAGTGTGCCATATAAAAACGACTCGGTTGGCAGGGAACAGAAGTCTCCTTTTCTATAATTTCAGAATATTTGGGCTGCAAGGCCAGATAGGTTCCAAGCAGACTGTTTGAGTACTGATTTATATGGCTGTCACCATAGACCTGCTATTCTAATGTTGTCCAACAACCACGTGATCCAGCCTCAATAAACGTTTGATAGAATGATGAAGACCAGCTGAAGTGGATTTTGCTTTGTTACAGAAATACATGTTAGCACCATATGTCTTAGAATATATGAATGCACAATGGTGTGCCTCAGGCGATGGAAACATCTTCTGTGATCACAGACATATGGGGATACTAAACAAATATTACAGACAGGTGCATAAACTTAAAACACTTGTATAGCCAAATGTATTCACTGCACAGAAACCCCATGTTATATCCTTATTTCATGTGAACAATCTCTGTAGGCATTTGGCACATGAGTCTGGTCTGATAGTGATGCTAAGTATAGATAGTATAATGCAGCGGTAGGCAACCTCTGCACTACAACTACAAGTTCCATGGGACACTGCAAGACTCTGACAGACCCAGGGATCATGTACAGAGTCAAAGGAATAATGGAATGTGTAGTTTTATCACAGCTGGAGTGCAAAGGTTGCCTACCCCTGGTATAAAGTTACCTGCGGAGGGACAACTGCTACATATACAAGCATCTGCAGGCCCTGACATGCTCCTCAGGTCGATCATTCCTGGGGAAAATATTAAAAGGCAATATCTGAATTTCACAGACAATCCGTTTTTTCTTAAAGAATGATCAGTTGGAGTGTCTGTACAATCCAAAGATGACCATAAACATCACCTTGTGTATCATCCATGGTGGGGGGAGCATTGGTCATCTACTGACTCTGATTATCTTCAGGTTGTGTGCACTCACCATCACTATAAGAAAAGGCTGTGTCATAAGAATGTACAATATGTAAAGCACTGCGTAAATAGTCGGCACTATACAAATACCTGGAATGAATGAATGAATAAATAAATACAGCTATGAGTGAGCAGGATTATTATCATTGTCAGCACAGGAAACTGGTTCCCAGTGTAGATCTAGCCAGGTTAATCTGGGATATTGAACAAACGATAACATACAATATACCTTGTCATCAAGAAAAATCTCCCCTTTAAAATAAGGCTGAAAATCTTCTATTTCAGTTCCAATCTTTTCTTTCACAACGGCATATAGTGGGATTCCAAGCTGGTCAAGCTCTGGCTTAAGTGCCGACAACCCTGCAGCCTCCTGCAATGCCACAAAACCAGCATTAAAAAAAAAAAAACACACAAACAACAGCTTACTAAAAAGTGACACTAAACCTTAAAAATGCATTCAAGTACCTTAACTATTAACAAAAATGTATCTTATTTGTGTATCACTCGGCTGTAGATCTACTACTTTTGTTCCCCATGGTCCCTGTGTGTGTTGTAAAGTAGCCACCACTCCAAGCTAACTCCTGTGATGGACTACAATCTCAATAAAAATTAGTGAACTAAATGAGAGATTGTATTCCATCACGGGAACGAGCTTGGAGCGGTGGCTACTTTACAACACACAGGGCCTATGGGGAACAAAAGTAGCCACCCTCCAGAAGGAAGGACAGCACCAATTCAGAGATGATTTGAGGATCTACCGCCAAGTGATGCACAAATAAGGTACATTTTTGTTATTAGATACATGAATGCATTTTTAAGATTTAACTCCTGAGTTTAGTGCCATTTAAGGTATTATGAAACAAACTGCTTTCCACGTTAGAATTACACATTCTTCAAAAAAAACGAAAACATACTTATACTTCATGCATACTACTTATTACATATTTCACCTACTAAAATAAAGAGTGCTTCCAAATACATTAAAGCACCATTTTGTTTTATGTTTTTACTACTGTACTATTTGTAATATTTGCGTACCATAAACATTTGTTTTAGATGTTTACATGTTTCAATAAACTTAATTGTTTTTGCTCTTAAGTATCTTTTGCTTTCCTTTTTTCCTCAGCTACCCTCACAGAACTATCCGTGAGAAGTTCACCCCGGGTTACCAAGTTAAGAATTAACCAGCCGACTGTTTTCTTTAGTTCCCCTGAATGGGCAGATTGCTGACATCCTTTTACTGATGTGCCTTTTTGTTGACATAATCTTAGGACTTCAGAGGAATAATAGAGATACACTGGTAATAGCTTGCATAGTTCTTAAAATACATTTGTTGTAGAATGTCATTTTTTTGGTATGTAAGCTGATAATGGAAGTCATAGCACATGTTCTTGATGTCACTCAAAGGAATCAACTGCTTCGAGGATAAAACAAACAAAACTGCTATTATAATAAACACTGACATATAGAAGACAGAACTATAAATAATAATGTGGTTGTTATGTTTGAGCTATTACACATTACATGTTCATTTCATTGAAGCTGCATGGAAAATATTTTTCCATGTTATGATCCCTTTCAGGCTCCCTTCAATGGGTACTGCCACATTCAGGAGTTAAATCTTAAAAATGCATTCAAGTATCTAGGGATGCACAGATACCGGAATCGGTGCTGATACTGAATATTTGACAGAGTACCCAAATGCTCTGATACCAAAACTTGGTCAAAGGGCGTTTCCTCTCTGACCGGCAGTGCCACACGGGAGCATGGAGCCAGCTTCCCGGCCAATCAAGTAGATGGGTGGGAAATGGTCTCCAGATTCCTGATTGGCTAGGAAGCCAGCTTCACTTGTCGCTAGGCAGCATGTTCTATTAAAAGAACACCGGCTTTACGCTCCTTTGCAACACTGCGAGGCAGCATGGCTTCCTGACCAATCAGGGAGACGGGGTGGCATGTCATGACCCACCGCCCAGCTTCCTGATTAGTCAGGAAGCCAGGCTGCCTCGCAGTGTCACAAGGCAGCGTGAAGCTGGGGTTCTTTCGAAAGAACACCGGCTTTACAGGCAATCACAAGCTTCCAGATAAGCCGGGCCCACGGTACCTCGGGATGCCGATATCTGTATTCAGTATCAGCAAAAACTGAAGATTAAAAAAAATATCGGTACTCAATACCAAAAAAACGGTATTGGTGCATCCCTTCAAGTATATTAGCTATTAACAAAAATGGAGCTTGTGTATCACTCAGCTGTGGATCCTCAAGTCATCTCTGAAATTATGCGGACACTGTCCCTTCTAGAGGGTGGCTACTTTTGTTCCCTGGACAAGCAAGCTACCCAGATCACGTGTACACCCTGTGTGATAGCAATAAAGTGAAGTGAAAAAAATATAAAAGGAAAAATTTTTTTAAAGAAAAATAAATAAAACCAACCCCGACAACCCCACTATCTGCATGTGAATAAACACATACATAGGGCAGTGCTCCCTAACATGTACAATGTGTATCAAAGGGTAAGTTAACTTTCCCAAGTAATTTGGGGGAAATGAATTACCCGATTAAATCTGGCCCCCTCACCCCCCCTTACCTTGTGGTGAACGGTCCTTCCCCACTGCCAGTATGGGTGCACTATCTGTACCCCATACTGCCATTCAGCACAGCCTTGCACTACCAATTTAGAATTTCACTCGCAAATTGCGAGCACTCATGGTTCATCGCAGTCAGATGACCATGCTGACCAATGAGAAGCACTTTTTAGCAGGGTTAAATACGATTTGGGTAAAAATATATTTTGTATCATGAGTAGATTGTCATGAGGGACAAAAAGATTGGGCCCCCGCTTTAGTCCTTGGACAAGTAGTTTCCCTGGTCAGCATAAATTTAGAAATTGATTTGAGGATCTACAGCTGAGTGATAACAAAGACGTAGCTTATTTGTGTAATAGTTAAAAAGGTACTTGAATGTATTTTTAAGATAGGCCTGAATATTACTTTAAGCCTCCCACAAATTTTGACAGGTTTCCTTACAATTTGCTACCTTTGTTCGTTAAGATAAAATGCAGTATTGCACAACTGTACAAAAACCTTTTCATGTTCCTAAACTAAAATGAATAAAGCCATGAGCACTCCCTCCAATGTGGACAATGTGTAGAGTGGAGATACTATTGCACAATGTGCATACCTGGTATGGGTCCCTGTTACCTGTATTACAGGTTTACACAGGACTTTCACTTTAGCTCATAGAAGTCATGATTTTGACTAAAGTCTATTACTGATAAAGAGAAATTATGTTTTGCCCATGTAGGGTTTCTCTTATGTGCATCTCTCCCTTCAACCACATATGTATGTGCTCTCCTTGTCATCACTCCACTGCCTGGAGTGAAAAAATATCTAGTACTTCTAGAAATGAGGAGCACTTTCTAGTCTTCGTTTCCTTTCACTGAGCTATGGTGGGTGCCTGAACAGCCAGTCGTGTGGGGAGACAATCCTTTCCCCTGTGTAAGCTCTGGCCAGAGCGTCCACAGGACTTTCTCTTTTCCTCTGCAAACGAAAAGAACGGTGGAGGAGAAAAAGGGAATGTCAATATAAACAGGGCTGGCATTTAAGTAAACGTGTTGCATTGACCTCCATGGGGAAATTAAACTTTCACTTTAATACTCAAGGTGGTCATACACATTGGGCCCCATTCACACTTGAGCATGAGCGGTTTCAAGAGATGTGTTTTTGCAAAAAAACAATTGTGTGTTTTTCAGGCAATTTCAGGCTTGAGTGTTTTAGCCAATGGAAAGCTAGTAACTAGAAGCAGGATGTAACACATGCAGTATGCCTCCTCGTTGAAGTCTGTGTGGCCAAAAATGCATGATTCTGCACAGAAAAAGGATACTTTACTTTTTTTGAGTTACAAGCATCACAACGCTCAGGTAAACAGGCACCGGTAAAATTGATAAGATATTTCAAGTTTAGTAGGGATGCACAGATACCAGTTCAGATACCAGTGCCATTACTTGTCATTTTCATGAGAACTACCAGGGTTGCAGCGCTTGCAGCTGTGACTGGGCCCTGGCGTCCAACCACTGTCCTGAAATCATTAGTCTGTAATGTTTTAGAAAAACTGTCACGGGACAATAAACAAAAAGGTATCAGTAATTGTATCTGTGAGTACTGGGACAGGTATTGGTACTTGTACTTGGTCTAGAAAAAATGTTATCGTTGCGTCCCTCCCTGGCAAGGCCACCCACAGCTGGAATTTTAGCTGAATTAATGGAATCAGATGAAATTTGTGTGTATGGTCAGCTTTACATTGTACTGAGAGCTTTACATTGTATAGAGAGAACATTATATCTATTACAGGCAGTCCCCGAGTTACAAACAAGATGGGGACTGTAGGTTTGTTCTTAAGTTGAATGTGTATGCAAGTTGGAACAGGTACATTTTTTTAGGTGTAACGCCAGCCAAAAAAATATTTTTTTCCCGCTTTGGATAGCATAGGGAAGCGTTAACCCCCTGTAACATTTGTTTTGCTGTCCTCACAGTGGCTCCAATCCCACACCATATTAACCCAAAAAAAAAAAAATTTCACGTGTACACCCTGTGTGATAGCAATAAAGTGAAGTGAAAAAAATATAAAAGGAAAAATTTTTTTAAAGAAAAATAAATAAAACCAACCCCGACAACCCCACTATCTGCATGTGAATAAACACATACATAGGGCAGTGCTCCCTAACATGTACAATGTGTATCAAAGGGTAAGTTAACTTTCCCAAGTAATTTGGGGGAAATGAATTACCCGATTAAATCTGGCCCCCTCACCCCCCCTTACCTTGTGGTGAACGGTCCTTCCCCACTGCCAGTATGGGTGCACTATCTGTACCCCATACTGCCATTCAGCACAGCCTTGCACTACCAATTTAGAATTTCACTCGCAAATTGCGAGCACTCATGGTTCATCGCAGTCAGATGACCATGCTGACCAATGAGAAGCACTTTTTAGCAGGGTTAAATACGATTTGGGTAAAAATATATTTTGTATCATGAGTAGATTGTCATGAGGGACAAAAAGATTGGGCCCCCGCTTTAGTCCTTGGACAAGTAGTTTCCCTGGTCAGCATAAATTTAGAAATTGATTTGAGGATCTACAGCTGAGTGATAACAAAGACGTAGCTTATTTGTGTAATAGTTAAAAAGGTACTTGAATGTATTTTTAAGATAGGCCTGAATATTACTTTAAGCCTCCCACAAATTTTGACAGGTTTCCTTACAATTTGCTACCTTTGTTCGTTAAGATAAAATGCAGTATTGCACAACTGTACAAAAACCTTTTCATGTTCCTAAACTAAAATGAATAAAGCCATGAGCACTCCCTCCAATGTGGACAATGTGTAGAGTGGAGATACTATTGCACAATGTGCATACCTGGTATGGGTCCCTGTTACCTGTATTACAGGTTTACACAGGACTTTCACTTTAGCTCATAGAAGTCATGATTTTGACTAAAGTCTATTACTGATAAAGAGAAATTATGTTTTGCCCATGTAGGGTTTCTCTTATGTGCATCTCTCCCTTCAACCACATATGTATGTGCTCTCCTTGTCATCACTCCACTGCCTGGAGTGAAAAAATATCTAGTACTTCTAGAAATGAGGAGCACTTTCTAGTCTTCGTTTCCTTTCACTGAGCTATGGTGGGTGCCTGAACAGCCAGTCGTGTGGGGAGACAATCCTTTCCCCTGTGTAAGCTCTGGCCAGAGCGTCCACAGGACTTTCTCTTTTCCTCTGCAAACGAAAAGAACGGTGGAGGAGAAAAAGGGAATGTCAATATAAACAGGGCTGGCATTTAAGTAAACGTGTTGCATTGACCTCCATGGGGAAATTAAACTTTCACTTTAATACTCAAGGTGGTCATACACATTGGGCCCCATTCACACTTGAGCATGAGCGGTTTCAAGAGATGTGTTTTTGCAAAAAAACAATTGTGTGTTTTTCAGGCAATTTCAGGCTTGAGTGTTTTAGCCAATGGAAAGCTAGTAACTAGAAGCAGGATGTAACACATGCAGTATGCCTCCTCGTTGAAGTCTGTGTGGCCAAAAATGCATGATTCTGCACAGAAAAAGGATACTTTACTTTTTTTGAGTTACAAGCATCACAACGCTCAGGTAAACAGGCACCGGTAAAATTGATAAGATATTTCAAGTTTAGTAGGGATGCACAGATACCAGTTCAGATACCAGTGCCATTACTTGTCATTTTCATGAGAACTACCAGGGTTGCAGCGCTTGCAGCTGTGACTGGGCCCTGGCGTCCAACCACTGTCCTGAAATCATTAGTCTGTAATGTTTTAGAAAAACTGTCACGGGACAATAAACAAAAAGGTATCAGTAATTGTATCTGTGAGTACTGGGACAGGTATTGGTACTTGTACTTGGTCTAGAAAAAATGTTATCGTTGCGTCCCTCCCTGGCAAGGCCACCCACAGCTGGAATTTTAGCTGAATTAATGGAATCAGATGAAATTTGTGTGTATGGTCAGCTTTACATTGTACTGAGAGCTTTACATTGTATAGAGAGAACATTATATCTATTACAGGCAGTCCCCGAGTTACAAACAAGATGGGGACTGTAGGTTTGTTCTTAAGTTGAATGTGTATGCAAGTTGGAACAGGTACATTTTTTTAGGTGTAACGCCAGCCAAAAAAATATTTTTTTCCCGCTTTGGATAGCATAGGGAAGCGTTAACCCCCTGTAACATTTGTTTTGCTGTCCTCACAGTGGCTCGAATCCCACACCATATTAACCAAAAAAAAAAAAAATTTGCATGGAGTTCTACTTTAAATGCAACTTGGAAAGATTTTTGTACAATTTCCTGCAATGTACAGTACCAGACCCGGAAGAAGAGGCAGGCACTCCTCCTCTGCATGTCTTACAACTTCCTGTAATGTACAGGAGGTACAGTACTGCAAACGTCAGCGCGAGCACAGTAGCATTACAATATTGGAACAGCCTGGGACCTCTGTTCGTAAGTAGGAGGCGTACGTAACTCAGATGTTGATAACTCAGAGACTGCCTGTATAATATTGGATTATAACAAAACACAGTAACATAATGAATACAGTGTAATAGTGTAATACATAACTATGTTACTAGTCCTTTACCTCTCTGCACAGAAAACATCCTGGTCTTCGCACAGCCATTATCACGGCTCCTTTGCTCTCCCACAGTTCTTTAGCTTTAAAAGACCTTGATTCTGCAGAGGAATGGGCAAGTTTAACTTCCGTTATCCATCATGTTTAACTCTCCGCAGAGATATAAATTTGCCACTATCAGAAACCAAGCCTTTCACTAAGCTTGAATAGTTTGATTGAACTGTGAACTTTATATCTTCATTCAAAAACAAGGGATTTTCAGCTACATAAGATTTTGGAGATTTACAGTTTTTTTGTTTGTTTGTTTTTTAAACAATTCTTGAAATAGAAAAAAAATAATGGTGTTTGATGTGCTGCCCTTGGGCCCCAGCACTCTCTAGTGGCAGCATTGATTTGTAAAGGGGCCTTTAATAACAGTAATCATGCAGTTTCATGTAACTTGCCCCCAGTCTCTGACTGTGTCCTACAGCGTGACTTCAATCTCCAACCACTCCTGTAGTCTGATCATATTCTATAATACGTCTTTGTATGATATAGTCTTCTGTAGCATTGAATAATATAAATGCAACCCTCCGGAGATATCAGGAGTCACATTGGAGGCCCCCCTATACCTATAAGTTGACAACTGGTCTGACCCTACAAATTAACAAAAAGAGAAAGTTTTGCCTAGAGAAGCACTTAAACAGAATAGGATTTAAACAAGATATCAAAAGGACTATTTGTAACCAAACGGAGAACGTTCAAAGTTAGAGAAAAGACTCCATAAGAAATCTGGTTCATACTGTAAATTACTAAGTTTTCTGGGAGTTCATTGTATTCAAAGAACTTCAGCTTTACCAAAGTGTGCCCTGGAGGGTTATGATGAGGGTATTTTTACAACCTATGGGCAAAATGCTCACATGTTCAGTCTGTGTAGAATACTTGTACAAAAATGGCTTATTGGGTTCCTTGTGCACTCCTTAGATCCTTCAGTAACTTTACAGGTGTCCTTCATAGCCTATCTCTGGGATAAAACTTGTCTTGGCTCTTCTCTAACATTGGCCATAGTATATATATATATACATAATAAATAAATATATGAGTGTGAGATAGCTTCTTGAGGGCAGGGGCTGATGTGAATGTACAAAATATGTAAAGTGCTGCCTAAATTGTCAGCGATAAATAAAATGCCTATAATAAAAATATCTATAACCTGCAGATCACAAAGCCTGTCCATGGATGGGCATATATACCAAACAAGATATTTTGGGAGGTAATTACAATGTTCAATACACAACAGCCTTTAGGTGTATTTCACAATGTTGCTCTGGCGCAACGCTTGGAAATGAGTTGTGGTGCACTGCGTTAAAGAAAAAAAAAAGTACATGCATGATGCATGTTTTCAGTGTGATTTGGTGTGGTAGGCAGCCCAATGAAATGAACTGGCTGCCTTAACGCAACACACATTGCTGCACAGAAGAACATGCATGGACCTGCATGGGTTACCGCAGTGCAACATTGTGAACCTAGCCTACATGGGAATTTTGCGACATTGGGAAGAGTGCTTGATCATTCAGCAGTCCAATATTCAGGTAATATGTTTTTGCTGGCTCATTCAGTGCTTGGATGAATGTAATGCAGAGTTCACACTGCCCGTGGAAATGATGAATCTGCAGTTTTCAGAGTTCCTAACAAAATGCAGTTTTCTACTTCAGAGTCAAAGGTAGATTTTGAATACTACTTGTAATAAAATAGTTATAGAATATAAACGAGAATGTACAAAAACTGTCGATTTTCCACTTTTGATTACTAGAATATGATCTAATAAACTTAGTGTATTTCCTCTTTTACAGCCAAAGTGGTAAAGCATTTTATATTTGTTAGATATTCTCATATACATAGCATAACTTGAAGATTTAAAAATAGCCGCTTACCTTGCTCTTTTGTAAAAATTTAATTTCTCCCCTTCTATGCAATGTTTATGTTGGGGCTGGACATTTAGGGGGTTATTCACAAAAGAGCCGAAGGCTCCAACTGTAGCTTTGGCTGATCCTTCAGCTCGCTTCGGCTACCTGAGCCCCTCGGTTCAGTTAAAACCGAAGGGCTGCTGTACAGGCAATTGTCAAAGCGGCTGAACGGCTTAGCCGAGCCGACGCATATGCTGTGGCTCGGCTGAGCCGTAATGACAGACGAAGGGTGGAGTAATGTCGGCCGAAGGGCCAACTGTTCTTCATGCAAATGACAGCTGGGCTGCGCCAAACCAGGACCTCATGGCTCGCTCCGCCCAGTTGTGATGACAGATCAGCGTCCCTAAATGACCTGGTGACACTGATCTGTCATTAAACAACAACTGGGTGGTGCCGGCCGTGGAGTCACGGCTGGCCCCGCCCAGTTTTTCCCCCCGGAGGTGCTAGAAGACTCTCGCAGGTGCCGGCCAATAGTAAACAGTTTGGCGGGTCTAGCCCAATTGTTTATATTTAGCCGGCACCTGTCAGATTCTACATTATGCGGAGGGAGTTCGTCGAGTCGGCGTGCATCGTTTAAAAAAAAAAATTATCTTTCATTTATTGTTTTTATTTAGTAGAGTTGTCA